TATATATATATATATATATATATATATATATATATATATATATATATATATATATATATATATATACTTACATGTATGTATATGGCAGCAAAAAGCTGTGCATGCATGCATGCATGCATGCATGCATGCATAAAAAGCGATTAAGCATAAATATATATTTCTATATTTCTATATTGATATGTACATACACCTCAACATATTGTGTATGCTGGGGTGTATGGACACACTTTTGCCTTTGTGGCATTTGCACAAATCTGCGAATAAATGACTTTTAAATAATGCGTAAATTCGAATTTATAATATTTAAATGATTTATTTTTTGTTCTTAAACATTTATATCATTCATATCCTTTTAAGAGAGTAGATCTGTACATGCACTCGCATATATATATATATTTATAACAATTAAATGATTTGTTTTTAAACATTTATATCATTTATAGTATATATTTATATTAATCAAATGATTTATTTGTTTTTAAACATTTATATCATTTATATTCTTTTAAGAAAGTACAGAACAGCTGCATGCAGCGACTGCGCCGGAAAGGCGCCTTCAAAGCTTTCAAATTTGAAATTAAAACTAATTTGTTTAAATCTTCTTTTTAATTTTAAAATAACTAAATTTCGGAAATTATAATTGTCTTTAAGTCTTCAACAGCAAAGGGGAACTCCCCAGACAAATCTATTTTGCATTTGTTCGGTTTGCTGCTGCGCACAGCAGCCAGGTGTACGTACACCGCAGTTTAACGAAGCAGCAGCGCAACAGCAGCAAATCGCAGCCATTTGCTGCTGCAGCAGGGCCTTCCAGCAGCAGCAGCCGCTGACTGCAGCAGCTGCAGCAGCAGCAGCTGCCGACTGCAGCAGCTGCAGCAGCAGCAGCTGCCGACTGCAGCAGCTGCAGCAGCTGCAGCAGCAGCAGCTGCAGCAGCTGCCGACTCCAGCCGCTGCAGCCGCTGCACCGCTGGGTTGCAGCACAGGAAGGCGGCCAAGGGAGTTGTCCCACACGAGGCAGTGGCCTAGCTAGCTAGCTAGCTAGCTGCCTGGTTGGCTGGCGAGCTAGCTAGCTAGCTAGCTGCTTGGTTGGCTGGCGAGCTAGCTAGCTAGCTAGCTGCCTGGTTGGCTGGCGAGCTAGCTAGCTAGCTAGCTGCCTGGTTGGCTGGCGAGCTAGCTAGCTAGCTAGCTAGCTAGCTAGCTGACCGACCAATTGGGCAGGCCGACAGGCAGCAAGCGAACCAACAAGTCAACTAACTAGCTAGCCAACTAGCCAGCCCGCCAGCTAGCTAGCCAGCTAACTAGCCAGCTAGCTAGCCGCCCAGCTAACCAGCTAGCTAGCCACCCAGCTAACCAGCTAGCTAGCCAGCCAGCTAGCCGCCCGGCTAGCCAGCTAGCTAGCTAGCTAGCTAGCTAGCCAGCTAGCTAGCTAGCCAGCTAGCTAGCTAGCTAGAGGCCCAGGCCAGTCTTTCTCCCGTCTTTGCGGCGAATGCCCTGGTAGTACTGCAGCTCCAACTCGCTGTTGATGCGCTGCGTCTGCTTCGGGTCCAGGTGCGCCTCCGCGGGCTGCACACACCCAAACCCTAAACCCTAAACCCTAAACCCTAAACCCTAAACCCTAAACCCTAGACCCTAGACCCTAAACCCGCAGCCCCAGCTCTAGGCCCCAAAACCCCTCTTCGCCGCGGGGCCTCGGGGGGCCCCGCAGGCGAGGGTTTGCGCGCAGCGGCAAACCGGAAACACCGCCTAGGGTTTAGGGTTTAGGGTTTAGGGTTTGGAGGGTTTACGGGAATGTGGGTGGAGTTTGCAATGGAACTGGGGTCCCCCTTGTGGCCCATGAGCTTCAAGAACTTGGACTTTCTTTCAGCATCACTTCCGAAAGAAAGAGAGTATTTATTGGGGTCTGTGTCGACTTCTGCTTCCTGCTGCTGCTGCTGCTGCTGCTGCTGCTGCTGCTGCTCGCCCGGCTTCTTCTTGCCCCACAGCAGCCGCCGCTTCTCCTGCACGCTCAGCCCCGAGCCTCCTGCTGCTCCGTTTGCTGCAGCAGCAGCAGCACGCACTCCTGCTGCAGTCGGCGCAGCAGCAGCAGCAGCAGCAGCAGCAGCGGCGACGTTCGCAAACGCTGCGTTCAGCACTGCGACGTTTGCTGCTGCAGCGTTCGCAGCAGCAGCAACTGCAGCAGCAGCAGCAGCAGCAGCCTGCTCCTGCAGCTTCTGCTGCTCCTTCTCCACCTCGCGCTTTCTCTTTGCTTCACTCAACTTAGCCAAGAGGGCATTCAGCCCCTCATCAGGCAGCTGCTTCCTGCTGCTGCTGCTGCTGCTGCTGCTGCTGCTGCTGCTGCTGCTGCTGCTGCTGGGGCTGGCGGTCCCCGGGGATGGGGAGCGCCGGGTCCACCTGCTGCGGCGCCTCGCGCTGCTGCTGCTGCTGCTGCTGTCAGCAGCTTGCGTACTCATGGTGAGGTAGCGCGGCTTGCTGCTGCTGCCTTCTGCAGCAGCAGCAGCAGCTGCTGCTGGCTTTGCTGCAGACTCCCTGTCCGGGCTTCTGCTGCGCTTCCTGCTAGCTGCTGCTTCCTCTGCCTCCCTCTTCGCTCCTTCAGCATTTTTGCTGCTGCTGCTGCTGCTGCTGCTGTGCCTGTCTGGGGAGCTGGAGCGTCTCCTGCTGCTGCTGCTGCTGCTGCTGCCAGCTGGGGGGGAGCAGCTTCTAGGCCTCAACACATCAAGCCCTTTTTCGCGGTGACCGCCTGCAGCAGCAGCAGGAAGCAGCAGCAGCAGCAGCAAGCAGCAGCAGCAGCAGCTAAGAGAGACAAAAGCAAAACAAAAAACGCCGAATTAATTAGTGGCAGCAAAAAGCGACGCGGCAGCAGAGCAGCAAAGACACCCTCACTCAGCAGCAGCATCCGCAGCAGCAGCAAAGCTGAAAGAGCAGCAGCAGCAGCCACCAAGCAGCAGCAGCAGCAGCAGCAGCGAAGGCGCAGCGGCAGCAGCATCCGCAGCAGCACAAACGCAGCTTCAGAAACAACGACAGCTGCGGCCCATTCCATCCCCGCCGCACCCAGCAGCAGCAGCAGCAGCAACCCGCCAACAGCAGCAGCAGCAGCAGCAACCCGCCAACAGCAGCAGCAGCAGCAGCAGCAGCAGCAGCAGGAGGCGCACCTTGCAGCAGCTTGTAGGCGTTGGGGTTTTCTCCGAAGAGGATTTCTGCGCCTTCTTTGAGAGCAACAACTGAATTATTTTTGAGTCTTTTTCCGTCGACAGAAGTGCCATTAACAGCGCCGAGTTCGTGGAGTTCGGCGAGGTCTGCTGCTGCTGCTGCTGCTGCTGCTGCTGCTGCTGCTGGCTGCCGCAGCAGCAGCAGCGCGTGCCGCCGCGATATGCTTATGTGCGGCAGCACTATGCTGCAGCTCGTGTTGCGCCCCACAGAGTAGCAGCGGCCTCCCCGCAGCTTCCACTGCTGCAGCACGCTGCCATCTTGGCTGAATTCGACGAGGTAGGCCATCCTGCTGCTGCTGCTGCTGCTGCTGCTGCTGCTGCTGCTGCTGCTGCTGCGGGGGGGGGGCCGGGAGCGGGGGGGCTGCTGCGCTGCGGCCGCGCGGCGGCAGCCGCCTTGGGGGGGACAGGAGACAGAGAGAAACAGCAGCAGGAGGTGCAGCAGCAGTTGAGGTGCAGCAGCAAGAGACACAGCAGCAGCAAAAGGAGAAAAACAAAAGACACGAAAGCCAGGCTGACTAGGGCATTACAGGAAGAGTTAGCAGTACCTCTGGGGCTTTGGGGGCATGCTGCAGTGCCTCGAAGTTTGCTGCTGCTCCTGCTGCTGCGCCTGCTGCTGCGCCTGCTGCTGCTGCTGCTGCTGCAGCTGCTGCGCTCACGTCCTGCGGCAAAGAGACACAACAGGAAGACACCCACCAGCGCGCGAGATGCTCCTCAAGTTGCTGCTCCGCTGCAGCAGCAGCAGCAGCAGCAGCGGCTCAGATGCAGCAAACCCAGCCAGCCCGCACTGCTTGTGCCCCTGCGGCTCCACCCTGCTGCTGCTGCTGCTGCTGCTGCTGCGCAGCACCGAGACTGCGAAAAGTCAAAGCTACGAAGCGACCTCCCTAGAGGAGGGGCCAAGCAAGCGCTGCAGCAGCCGCGTCAGTTCCCGCTGCTGCCGCTGCTGCTGCTGCAGTTGCTGCTGCTGCTGCCGCGACTCAGCGAACGGCACAACGAAGGCAACCGCTGCTGCAACTTTGCTGCCTCTACAAAACGTGTAAGAAAATATAAAAGGCCGTCTTAAATCGATGCGCTGTTGAAGTTCCAACTGTTGCAGTTCTGGCAGCAGCAGCAGCAGCAGTTGCTGCTGCTGCTGCTGCTGCTGCATGCTGCCGCAACGCCATCCAGCAGGAGCAGCAGCAGCTAGACGAGGCCCCCCTCACGCTGCTGCCGCTTCTTCTAATGCATCTTCTATGTTTTTTATATTAAATAGTTTATTTATTGATTTTCCTTGTATTTAAGCTGGCCTGTGTGGAAGAGTGTGGCTGCGGCAGCTGCTGCAGCTATTGCTGCTTCTGCTGCTGCTGCTGCTGCTGCTCCGCTGTAAGCCGCCTCGATGCTCTTGTCTGCGGGGGCGGCTGCTGTCTCTCCCCATCTACAAAAAAGGGAGTGGAAGCAGCATCAATATTTGCTGCTGCAGCTCCAGAGTTAGTCTGAGGAGCAGCAGCAATTGCTGCAGCAACGGGCGTCGCAGCAGCTGCAGCAACACCAGCTGCTGCAACACCAGCAGCAGCAGCAGCAGCAGCAGCAGCAGCATAGGCCACGGTAGCAACACCAGCCCAGAGGTTTCTCACGCAGGCGGTGTGTGCCTTATGTCCTGAAGTTACAGGGGAGTATTCATTGATTCAGAGGCCCCCTTGCTGCTGCTGCTGCTGCTGCTGCTGCTGCTGCTGCTGCTGGTACGGCTGCCGCTGCGGCGCCTCCCAAAACTGCCGCCTAGTAAGCAGCAGCAGCATCCAGCCGCACCGCCAGCGGCCCCCCAACCCCCACAACTAGCCCTATCAGCAGCAACAGCAGCAGCAGCAGCAGCAGCAGCAGCAGAGCAGCAGCAGCAGCAGCAGCAGGGATGGGTTTGAAGGAGCAACTGCGGGGCTTCCGAGCGGCGTGGTCTTGCATGCCGTTGGCCCACAAGTTGATTTATGGCTCTCTTGCTTTTAATGGGGGTTTGATGGTGTGGCTGCTGCTGCAGCAGCGGCGCAGCAGCAGCAGCAGCAGCAAACTGTGGCAGCAGCACATGCAGCAAACCAGCAAAGAAACTGAAGGCTGGAAGTGCTACGACCTCGCGAAGCTGCTGCGCGAGCAGTGCAGCAGCGACGAGCTGCTGCTGGCCCAGCTCATAGAGGAGGAGTCTGCTGCTGCAGCCTCTCCCGCTGCTGCTGCTGCTGCTGCTGCTGCAGCTCCTGCTGCTGCTGCAGCTCCTGCTGCTTCCGCTGCAGCAGCTCCTGCTGCTTCCGCTGCAGCTGCTGGGTCCGCAGCGCACCCCGCGTCTTCCGCAGCAGCGGCACCGCCAGCAGCAGAAGCAGCAGCAGCAGCAGCAGCAGCAGCAGCAGCAGCAACAGAGGACCTGTTCTGCCGCCGCGTGGTGCAGGGGCTGCTGCAGTGCCGCGAAGAACTTTATTTGCTGCTGGGCAGCAGCAAACTGCCAGCCATGCAGCCTTTGCCTTTCATTTCAAACAAACCCCGCTGGTTCAAGGAGCCCCAGTGGTTCCTAGACCTGCAGCAGCAGCAGCAGCAGCAGCAGCAGCAGCAGAAGTAGCTGCAGCAGGAGCAGTGGAAGTAGCTGCTGCTGCTGCTGCGGCGGCGGTTTGAAGCAGCGGCTGCAGCAGAGGCTGCAGCAGCAGAAAGAGCTGCTGCAGCCGCAGCAGCAGACGTAGCTGCTGCTGCTGCAGCGATTAAAGCAGCTGCTGCAGCAGCAAAGGAAGCTGCTGCACGACAGCATCAGTCGAAGCAGCTGTAGCAGCAGGAAGCAGCTGCAGCAGCATCAACAACGAGAGTAGCCGCAGCAGCAGCAGCAGCAATAAATATGGCTGCAGCAGCAGCAGCAGCAACAAATATGGCTGCAGCAGCGGTAGCATTCGCTGCCGATGGAGCAGCAGTAACCGAACTAGCTGCTGCTGCTGCAGTAGCTAATCCTGCAGCAGCAGCTAATGCTGCTGCAGCAGCTAATGCTGCTGCAGCAGCTAATCCTGCTGCAGCAGCCAATCATGCTGTAGCAGCAGTAGCTGCAGATGAGGGCTCCCGCAGCGTCAGCAGCAGTAGCTGCAGGGGAATCAACAGCAGCAGCAGCTGCTGCAGCTGCTGCTGCAGTTGCTGCTGCTGCAGCTGCTGCTGCAGTTGCTGCAGCTGCCTGCTGCGACAGCAGCAGCAGCGGCGGCTGCTGCTGCCGGTGCAGCGAACGGCACGGAAGCCGTCGTTTCTTTCGAGGCTCCCAAACCCTAACCCTAAACCCTAAATTAGGTTTTTGAAGGCTGCTGAGGGACTGTTTAAAGTGAAGTTTAGAAGGGTTTTGGAGGCCAGCAGCAGCAGCAGCAGCAGCAGCAGCATGAAGCAACAGCAGCTGCTGCTGCTACTGCAGCAGAAGCAGCAGCACCAGCCACTGCTGTTCTCTGCAACTTCCGCTGGTGCAAAAGCATGTGCTTGCTGCTACTTGTGCTGCTGCTGCTGCTGTTGCTGCCGCTGTTGCTGCTGCTGCTGCTGCTGCTGCTGCTGGCAGCCACGGCAACAGAGAAATATACCATTTGTGGCGTTGCTGCCCCTACACAGCAACTTGGGCCCGTTCTTTGCATGCGCATGCATGCATTTGGAACCCACTGCATGCATGCAGGGGGCCCCGCATGCATGCATGCGTGTGGGGCCCCACACGCATGCATTTAGAGAGAGTTTGGATTTCTGCAAAAGCCCCAGTTGAATTATTTTCGCCCTTAAATGGCCCACAGCCCCAAAAGGGCCATTTGCATGCATTTGGACTTCATTTCAAATTCTCGATTTTCAAAATAAAAAATAAATAAAAATAAAATAAAAATAAATAAAATAAAACAATTTGAAGTGCAAATGAAACTGTAAGTGAAAATATAATTGGAGATGTAAATGGAGGTGGATATAAAATAAATATAAATGCAAATATACATGCAAATATGCACATAGATATAAATACAAAAATAAATATAAATATAAATATAAATATAAATACAAAAATAAATGTAAATATAAATATAAATACAAAAATAAATGTAAATATAAATATACGTATAGATATAGATATAAATATAAATACAAAAAGAAATATAAATACAAAATATAAATATAAATACAAATATAAATACAAAATATAAACACAAAATATAAATATAAACATAAATATAAATATAAATATAAATATAAATATAAATATAAATATAAATATAAATATAAATATAAATATACAAATAAATATAAATATAAAATATAACAATAAATGTGAGTGCAGTTTTAATTTTGGTGTGAATGCAATAGGAAATATAAATGAAAATAAAAATATGAAAATAAATAAATACAAAAATATGAAAGTGAAAGAATATAAAAATATGAAAATAAATAAAAATGAAAATGAAAACATAAAAACAAATAAAAATAAAGATACAAATAAAAAATAAAATAGAAAAGGAATGAAAATGTGAAAAGAAGAAACAAAAAGACAAAAAGAATTAAAATGAAGAGAAAAGAAATGCAATTTAATGCAGATAGAGAAAAAGAATTAAATAATGAAATATAAATTAAATGCAAATAAAGTTTTAAATAATTCAAAAAGTAAATTAAATGCAAATAAAAGAAATTAAAAACTAATTCGGAAACGAAGAGCCACAAAGATATGCAAATAAACAAATTTTAAATTAAAGGAATTTAACAGTTAAATGATTAAAATAAAATAATTAAATAATTAAATATCAAATGATTAAATAATTAAATAATTAAATAATTAAATAAGTAAATAATTAAATAATTAATAAAAGATTTAAATGCAAAAAATGAAATTTAAAAATGCAAAAGTTAATTCATTTGTCTTACACCTTTATTTCTGTTTTTAAAAGCACATTTATACATTTGCACACGCTGCAGGTCTAAACCCTAAACCCTAAACCCTAAACCCTAAACCCTAAACCCTAGACCCTAAACCCTGAACTCGAAGAGACCCGAGACTGTCCGACTGCGCCTGCGTCTTCTCCCGAACAAAAGCAGCAGCTCTTTTGCTGCTGCTGCTGCTGCTGCTGCCTTCGCTGCGGCTGCTGATGCTGCTGCTTCTGCTGCTGCTGTTGCTGTTGCTGCTGCTGCTGCTGCTGCTGCTGCTGCTGCTGCTTTCTACAACCCCCTAAGGCTAAGGCAAGTCCACATTGTGAATCTCATCTAAAAAGTATTATTATTTACTTTGAAAAGTATTTTTATTTATTTCAAAAAGTATTTCTATTTATTTAAAAATGTTACAAAAATGCCTTTTAATGAAAGAATTTGTCTACAGCCCTCGGGCTGCTGCTGCAGCAGCGCAGCCTGCTGCAGCAGCAGCAGCAGCAGCAGCAGCAGCAGCAGCAGCAGCAGCGAAATGACAAAACGCCCCTCGTTACGACCGCCTCGTGTATTTATTTATTGATTTATTATTATTAAATAATAAATAATTAATTTGTTTTTTATTTTTCATTTATTTATTTATTTATTTATTTAAATAAATGCGGATTTGAAAGAAACAACAAACGCATGAAAGCCTCGTTCTCAAGAAACTGCAGGTGGGCGGCGCGGCCAATGAAAGAGTCGAGGGACCTGACAGCTAAATAAATAAATAAATAAATAATAAATAAATAAATAAATAAATAAATAAATAAAAATAAATAAATAAATAAATAAATAAATAAATAAATAAGTTTGTAATAATCATAATGTGAAAGAGGCTGCCAGAGAGGTAATGAGTCGGTTGAGAGAGAGAAAAATATTAGCAGCAGCAGCAGCAGCAGCAGCAGAGATTGCAGCAGCAGCAAAGGAGGACGGCAACAGCAGCAGCAAAGTGGTAGCAGCAGCAGCAGAAATAGCAGCAGCTGCAACGGGAGGTAGCAGCTGCGGCGAAGAGAGAGAGCAGCCGCAGCAAAGGGAGATAGCAGCAAAGCAGCAGCAAAGAAATATAGCAGCAGCAGCAGCAAAGAAAGACAGCAGCAGCGAGCAGAGGCAGCAGCAGCAGCAGCGTGAGCCAGAAGAAGAAAAAGAAACGGACATCGAAGGGACAGCAGCAGCAGCAGACAGCAGCAGCAGCAGAACAGCGGCAGCAGCACGAGAACAGCAGCAGCAGCACGAGAACAGCAGCAGCAGCACGAGAACAGCAGCAGCAGGGGGAGACAGCAGCAGGAGAAGGAGACAGCAGCAGAAGCAGACAGCAGCAGCAGCACAACAGCAGCAGCAGACAGCAGCAGCAGCAGCAGCAGCAAACCTTTCTCTGATCTTGAAATTGACACTCAGCCGCAGCACTTTTTCCTGCTGCAGCCACGAGGAAACATTGCTGCTGAGGGACACTAAAATGCTGTTCTGCCTGCAGCAGCAGCAGCAGACAGCAGCAGCAGCAGACAGCAGCAGCAGCAGACAGCAGCAGCAGCAGACAGCAGCAGCAGCAGCAGCAGCAGCAGCAAAGAGGATCTGTTTAGAGTCTCCTTCTGCTGCAGTGACTCTTTTTGCTTCTGCACTTTTCTGGGCTGCTGCTCTAGTGCTTTTAATTTAATTTAATTTAATTTAATTTAATTTAATTTAATTTAATTTAATTTAATTTTATTTAATTTTATTTTTAATTCATTTTAATTCATTTTAATTCATTTTAATTCATTTTAATTTGTTTTCCGTTCAATCGCTCTTTTTCATTTAAAAGTATAAAATTGAATTTAATTAATTTTTATTTTTCACATATCTCTTTTCATTTCTTTTACTTCTTTTATTTCTTTTAATTTAATTTATTATTTTTCCCATTTAATCCTTTTTTATTTCTTTCAATCTTTTTAATTTAATTAAATCTCCCATCATTTAATTTAATCTCTCTCTATTTCATTTATTCTTTTTCATTTCTTTTAATCTTATTTATTTATTTATTTATTTTTTCATTTTTGCAAAAACCCTAAAAGGCCCACTTCATATATTGCTGCTGGCTGTTCTCCTCTTCCACTAGGGGGGCCCCCTGGGGGCCCCCCAGGGGGCCCCCCAGACCCTGGGGGCCCCCCTGGGGGCCCCCCTGGGGGCCCCCCTGGGGGCCCCCCTGGGGGGCCCCCCTGGCTGTGTCTTCTGCTGCTTCATCAGTCCACGCGATGCTGCTGCATTCGCTGTCTCCGAAAGCGCTTTTTTGCCTTGGCTGCGCATCTGCTGCTGCTGCTGCTGCTGCTGCTGCTGCTGCTGCTGCTGCTGTTGGGGGGGCCCCCAAGTCTGCTGCTATGCCGGCTTCCAGGGCCTTGCAAACCCCCCCGAGGGCCTCGTCAAGAGAAGGCGAAGAAGCAGCAGAAGCAGCAGAAGCAGCAGAAGCAGCAGAAGCAGCAGAAGCAGCAGAAGCAGCAGAAGCAGCAGAAGCAGCAGA